TCCTTGTGTAAAAGACAGTAATCATCCTTTAATGTATTTAATTCACTTTGAAATTTACTAATCTTTTCCATTTGTGTATGCTGGCTTTCTCTCAACTGTTGGAGACTTTCTTCATGTTTCATTTCTTGTTCCAGTTGCCACTGGTGCTGGCTTTCTTGCCACTCCTGTAGTCTCTCTTGTTTATTTTCTTTCTCCTCCAACCACTGCCGTAGTCTCTCTTCTTGTTTATTTTCTCGTTCTTCTTGTTTCTTTTCTTTTTCCTCCAACAACTGCTGTAATCTCTCTTCTTGTTTCTTTTCTTTTTCCTCCAACAACTGCTGTAATCTCTCTTCTTGTTTATTTTCTCGTTCTTCTTGTTTCTTTTCTTTTCTTCCAACAACTGCTGTAATATCTCTTCTTGTTTATTTTCTCGTTCTTCTTGTTTCTTTTCTTTTTCCTCCAACAACTGCTGTAATCTCTCTTCTTGTTTATTTTCGCGTTCTTCTTGTTTCTTTTGCTGTTCTTGTATTGCTGCCATCAAATTTGCTAAGCTGTAGTTTGATTTGCCACTTCTTGTTTACATCTTGTTTTTTTTCTTTTCCATCCCACTTCTGACACAAATTTTTTACGTATCTGCTCGTTTGTTAATTTCCAGTATAAATTCTTTCCAAGGAACTTCAGCGATACAAGTGCTTTCTTAATTAAAATTAGTTTATTTTTTCTCGATACAACTTTGTAATACACAGAATTTCCACAGTCACTTTAAACTTAAACAACCTTTATAACACACGCTATAAATCACAGTGATTCACACACTATACTTACAATGCCTACTGTTTGCTTGACTCAATTATCTATCTATCTATGATCTGTATTTCTTCTCATCCCGCTGGTTTTTCTCGCCAGGCTTATATACTAAAAAAGAGGGCGTCTAGCAAACACTCGGACATTCGCGGGGTATCTCGATAATTAATGATCCTTCGAGAAACTCCTGCGCGCATGCTCCCAGCGTTGAGTGACTTCCGCTGTCTTAACAATATTTTAAACACCGAATTATTTATAGAGTCCCTTAGGAATTTTCAAGAATTAGAAGAATGTATAATAATAGTATTCCAATCATAGTGTTATAGCTATATTCATTGTTGACGGCCCCCAGTGGCTCAGCGTAAGTCTGAAGGCTTACATCGCTAAAACTAGGTTTTCATACCAGTGGTGAACGCAACACAAGTAACTTCTAGAGTAGATTTGAGCTTAAAAAGTAACAAACGTTTCGCTCGATCCAGAGTTATTCAGGTTGGTTGGGACACAACGAACACAGTAATAGTCGAAATACTATTGATATAAGCCATTTTTTTACAGCAACAAATGTTATAGAATGAACACCTTTTACAAGCTGGCGAAGCATCTATATAATTGAAAGAGTAATGTGCATGAGAAGCATAGGTAAAGAGAATAAACTTTCTGTACACCCTTGGTGTAATTTGACTCTGAATTGTTCTTAGGTTCAGTGTCGGATGAATCAACCCAGAATTCCTACCAAGTCAAATCAAATCATGAGAAGCTTTTTGAACTTCATTAAACCATGCAAAAATGGAAGTAGGAGTAGGGAAGTACAAACGGCATTACTATATGCGTAAGGGAGGGGTGGGTGTAAATAGTACTATGTATTTGCAAAGAGAAAGGTA